ACCCTTCCACTTGGAACACTGCTGTCTCTATTGTGGTTCCTATATATTCTGAATGCACTCCCCACTTCTTTGCATGCTCCAGGAAACTCAGATCACCCTGCCCCTGCCTCTGCCCTTCCAAGAAACCTCCCTCATGTCTCCAGCCCAGGCTGAGCTTATCTTCCCTCAGTCTGTCTCCAGGGTACCTTTTAGCCCAGAGCACATTATACCTTGTGCTCTCTGGGGTAGACGACCATCCCAGTTTGTCTAAGATGAACAGATTTCTTGAGACGTGGGAGTTCCAGTGCTGACAAAGGGGAAGTCCTTGACTTATAGGAAATTTGACGCTTTTCATGAAGCTTTTGAGCTATCTACTTACCTATAATAGATTTTGAGCTCAAGAACTGTGAGTGGTCCCTAACCAGGAGACTGTTTTTGTCTGGAGGTATTTTTGTCAAAATCTAAACTGGAGATGCTAGTGGTATCTGTGTTTTAAATATTTCTCATGCAATTTTATCTCCCACCTCTCTTTGAGACAAGGTTTCTTGTAACCAATGAGTTGAGTGGCCTCAAACTCATTAGATAGCCAAATTCTGACATTTCTGCTTGTACTTCCTGTGTGCTGGGATTACTGGTACGTGTCACGATGTCTGTCTTTGTGGAGCTAGGACCAAACCTAGGGTTTCATGCATGTTGGGCAAGCACTGTACCAACTGAGCTGCATCCCTAGCCTGTGTCATTTGAGACAGGGCCATACTTTGCAGTCCAGACTGTATTAGAGTGTGGTATATAGTCCAGTCTACCCTTCACTCATGGTGATTCTTCTGCTTTGGTGCTAGGATGTTAGCTGTACATCACAATGCCCAGCTGCTGTAGTCAGGCCAGTCATGCAGATGGTGGGGGTGAGAGATGGCATTTTTGTGAAACAGAAAGACTGAGTGAGGATGACTGAACATCAAAGATGGGGCATATTATGGATGTTTAGAAGTGGCTTGGCATAGCAACTGCATTCGTAGGGGCAGGAACTGTTCCCCAAGAGTCCCTCATCAGGGTGAAGCTGTGACTACCACGTGTGTCTTAGTGGCCTTGGGATGCTCTGTGACCCTCAGTATCTGCCGGAAACAGCATGGATGACATTTGTGGGAAGCTCTTGCTGCAGCTGCACCAGCAGTACCCGGGTGATATTGGATGTTTCGCCATCTACTTCCTGAACCTGCTCACCTTAAAGCCGGGGGAAGCCATGTTTCTGGAGGCCAATGTGCCCCATGCCTACCTGAAGGGAGGTGAGCCCCATTTTAGTAGTATGCCCCACTGCCATCCCCCATGGACCTTGTTTTTTTTTTGTGTGTGTGTCGATAAAAGAGGGTGGTTGGTGAGGCCTCTGTAAGCACCTGGGAGGATGGTTGAGCCAATATGGATGATGGCTGCCAGCTGGGTGGTAGACATAGCTTAAAACCTGCTACCAGCCACAAGTTCTGGTGTTAAGCCCCTTTGATGAGTGTGGAAATCAGTTTGAGCCAAGCCACACTAGACAAAGCTGCTGTTCTTTGTCCTATCATTGGTGTTTGCCTGCAGACTTTTACACTACAATATGGGTGATACAACAGAAGGATGTCACTTGTTGTGAATGTATGTACCATAGGGTGCATGTGGAGACCAGGACAACCTGGGGGCTAAGGGTTGGGCCTCATTCTGTTTGCATGAAGGTCTCTTTTTTCTTTTTCTTTTTTTGACACATACTCCATCTAGTTGTCCTGTGAACTTCCAGAGATTCTTGTATCTTCCCATAGGAATGGGATTACAACTATTTGTACTACACACTTGTTTTAATATGTGTCTTTGGCCTTTGAACACAGGACCACATGTTTGCATGGCAAATGGTTTTACCCACTTTGACCATCCTCTTTGTTGCTATTCTTGTTTTGAGACAGGGTCTCACTCTGTAGCCCAGGCTAGCCTCAAATTCATGGCAACCCTCCTACTTCAGCCTTGTGTGTTCTGTGATTATAGGCATGACCACCAGATCTGACTGGCCTCCCATTTGACTTTGACAGCTTATCCACTCACAGGATTCTGTTGCAGAAGTCATGTTAACATTAGGGGTTAATACAATTTGATGCCTATTACCTTCATCATATTCTCCCACAATTCTATTCACATAACTGATTTATAGGGCATGCATATGCCTAAGTTAGTAGGCCCAGCCCTGGAGAGCCAAACTCCATGGCTTACTTCACCATCTTAGCACATGATTTATCTGTTCTCAGACTGTGTGGAATGCATGGCATGTTCAGACAATACTGTGCGTGCTGGCCTGACACCCAAATTCATTGATGTGCCAACCCTATGTGAAATGCTCAACTACACACCTAGCCCCAGCAAGGACAGGCTGTTTACCCCAACACGGAGTCAAGATGACCCCTATCTCTCCATCTATGACCCCCCTGTGCCAGACTTCACTGTTATGAAGATGGAGGTGAGTACATGGGCCAGGTGGGTATCCTTTGTGTAACATGTCAAACCTACAGGGCTATACCTGGGGCTGGATTTCCTGTCAAGCCCACTTAGTATGGCAGCCACAGAACTCATCTACTTCTCTACCAGGGACCAGATGTGGGTTTCCATGGTGCCAAGAGCCTCAACAGTGGGGAAGGAGGCAGCAGGGCCCTTGAGGTGTCTCTAGCACCCAGGGGCAGAGTATAAACTATAGTATCCATCACTTCTTTCTACCAGGTCCCTGGCTCTGTCACTGAATACAAGATCTTGGCAGTAGACTCTGCCAGCATCCTTCTGATGGTCCAAGGGACAGTGACAGCTACCACACCCACAGTTCAAGGAGAGATCCCTTTGCAGCGTGGTGGAGTGCTCTTCATTGGGGCCAATGAGAGTGTCTCACTGAAGCTTACTGTGGCCAAGGATCTGCTGATATTCCGGGCCTGCTGTCTGCTGTAGAGACCAGCCTTTCCACCCTCTCTGCCCATCACCTATATCTTGGCCAGCTCCACCTTTCAGGTTCAGCCCAATCTTTGTCCCTATTGTGCACTCTTTGGTGCATGCTGGAATAGTAGAGAGCTTGGCATTAGTGACTCCAGAGCATGCCCAGGTTGGACTATCTTCAGGATGAGGGGTCTATGTGAAGACTGAGGCCTACCACTCCACTCCACTGTTCTCTCAACACTCCTTGCTACCTCTGAGTCAGATGTGTCTATTCAGGAGGCAACAACTCTGCCCCAACTAACAAAACATTGTGACCCAGCATCAGATCAGCATCCATCTAAGTGACAGGCCAGTGGACTAATGAAGCTTACTCCCCCTAGTTCTGTCAAAGTAATTAAAGATCACTTGTGTCAAGGATAAGGACTAAAGAGCAGTTGGTATTCCTGCCCCTGATGTGGGCAGAAAGAGCTCTCTGATGTCCAATTTTGGTCTTGATTCTGCTTGATACAGCTTCCTAGGGGTGGGCAGGCTGGATTCCAGAATCCTTTTATAGGACAGGGTGAAGAGGAAGCCAGCCTCAGCCTCAGATGCACAGCCCGCAGGCAGGCCTTGGCTGCTCTTCTAGTGTACTTATTTTTGAGACTATCTTGCTGTGTTCCAAAGGTTGGCTTTGAAGTTGTACTTCTGTCTCAGCTTCAGATGGCTTCTGGTGTGTGAACATGTTTATGTATGTGCACATGTACCTCAGTGTTACTACTCAAGAGCCATCCACTGGAACTCACTAATTCAGCTAGGCTGACTGGTAGAAAGCTTTAATGAGCCTCCTGGCTCAGCCTCCCCAGAACTGGGATTACAGGTATGTGCCGCTGCCTTTGACTTTTTATTTGGGTGCTGGGGGAGGAGAGGTCAGGGATCTGAACTCAGGTTCTCATGCTTGCACAGTAATCTCTTTAACAACTGAGCCACCTGAGTCCCTTTTAGATATTTTTGAGGTTCTCATATAGCTCAGGCTAATGTTGTGTATTGGAGGTTGGAGAGATGACTCAGCAGCTAAAAGTACTTACAGAGAACCCAGGTTTGGTTCTTAGCTCCCATGTGGTGGCTCACAACTGTCTGTAACTCATTCTAAGAGATGTGATGCTTCTGACCTCCATGGGCTCCTGCAGCTGCATACGAATGATGCACAAACATATACTCCGCGCACACACACATAAGATACAACTTAAAAACCAAACAAGAAATCCCTGAGCCGGGTGGTGGTGGCGCACGCCTTTAATCCCAGCACTCGGGAGGCAGAGGCAGGCAGATCTCTGTGAGTTCAAGGCCGGGCTGGACCGATAGCCTCCAAAACAATACAGAGAAGCCCTGTCTCGTAAAAACAAAAAAACAAAACAAAACAAAAAAAAGAAATCCCCATGTATTGGGGGATGACCTGAACAGATCCCTGCCTTTACCTCCCAGGTAATTATAGGCATGCACCACCATCCTTAGCACGTATTACACAATTTCTCTGGCTTAAAAAAACAAAACGAAAAACCCCACAAAAACAGCTGAGGCCAGAGTGATGGCTCATGGAGTAAAAGGGCTTGCCACCAAGCCTGATGACCTAAATTCAACCCCTGGGATCTACATGGTAGAAAGAGAACCTACTCCTGAAAGTTGTTCCCTGATCAACACATTTGCCATGTTACACCTACATGTATACACAGACACACAAAAAACAATAATAGTCTGAAGAGGGTCTGCTAAAGGCTCACCCATTCTAAAGCCAAGGGTCCATTCTACTCACAGCCTCCAAAATAATATCCTTGGGGAACAGCAGAAAAAGTTTTCAGGAGGCATGCCATGGTCGGACTAAGTTATTGTTTCAGCATATGCAGGCCTTTCTTAAACCTCCCAAAGCAAATCATATATGGTGGCACACATCTTTAATCCCAGCGCTAAGGAGGGAGAGGCAGGCAGATCTCTGAGTTTGCAGACAGTCTAGTCTACAGATTGAGTTCTAGGACAGCCAGGGCTATACAAACAAATCCTGTCTCAAAAAGTGTCCCCACCCCAACCAATGCAATACAATACAGGTCAACTACCATGACTGCATTTATTATAACAGACTGTAGAAGTACAAGCCAAGAGGTCTTAGAGCAGTGGTTTGTAAACATTAGGTGGAACCATTCCTGAAGAAGCTCAGATACACTTCTTCCCAGGGACTGCCTCCTGCAGGACACCCAGCACTCTGAATTGGGCAGTTAGAATCTAGCTACCAGTGTGCCTTTATTGGTGTTATCTTGTCCATCCCCTAACAGCTGTTTCTGCCCTCCTAACTGGACACTGTCACCTGCTCCACATCCCTGAGCTTTCCCATACAAGGCCGCCCAGCTCCAGAACTTCCCTCCTAGGGACTGTTCCAGCCAAGTACTTCAAAGTTGATTACAGCAACAATCACCCCAAAGGGTGTGGTTTGGGGTTACTCCCCCCCCCAGCTGCCAAATGCCCAAACCACTCTGTCTTGACCAACTCCCAACAGAACTAGGACTCCACAGGCATCCCTGGCCCTCACTGAACCACACCATCTAGTCTTTCTCTACACTGAACCACATCTCTTCCCTTCCACACGTGCTTCACCTCTGCAGGGCTCCAAAAGGCTTGGATGTGGTCTGTGGTCCTTCCCTGCAGGCCTTAACATAAGGTGCTCAGAATGTGAGATATCTGCTTAGAGTTGCAGAGTCCCTCTGCAGAACGTAATTCACATCTATAACCCAGTCCCAGGAACCAAGCAGATGTGCCTCTGGTTGCTGTCCCATCCCCTCCTATGATTCTGCTCAGTAGTTGAGTAAAAAGCCCCTAGACATGGTCTCTTCAACCTTCTGCTGCCTGAGAAGAAAAGCCTGTTGGGTATTAGCAGGCTAGCACAAGGACAGGTTTGTGGCCAAGTAACAGTGAAGGACTTATCTTTTGATCTTACCCTTTCTGCTACCATAGGTGGCACATCATTCCTCCTATGCCTCTAGTAGTCACTGGACATGACAGTGACATGTTGTGCCCAACCCCTAATCCTGACTACTGTGCCCTTTATGCTGGGAACCCTTTCCACTCCAAGTCACACCACACACCTGGGTAAGATAAAGGAAAGGTAGGGGAGACATCCTGGAAAACGAAATTCCAGAAAGGCATAGTATTGCAAGAAAAATTACCCCTGTATTTGTTGTGTTCAGGCTTGGGGTTGAGAAAGCCTGTGCTCACTCACAGGTTTGCTGTGTTCCATACCCCCAGCCCCCAGTGGACTGGAACCCAGAGCATTGCACATGCTAGGCAAGTGTTCTACTAGAGTATACACAGCCTTCAGCCTGTGAGCTCTGTGCTGGGGCAGAGGCATGTGCCATAGGAATAAACCTTGTTAGAAGGGGGACGTTCCCCTTCCACTGCAAACTGATCTATCTCAAGTGGGGTCCAGGAGCTGGCTTAGGTCTCTCCTCCCCATCCTGTTTGACCATTTCCATGTAGGCCAAAGCTACACCAGGACATCTGTTCTCAAAGTTAAAAATCTAAGCACAGAAGGCACTGACTGCCCAGCAGCTCCCTCTGCTGGTAATCACAAAACTGCAGGCTTCTGGTACCAGCCCCAGGAACCAATTAACTATTAGATTAAAACAAACAAAAAACAGGTAGAAAAAACGAGCCAATGTCAAGGAACTATAGATAAATGTACATATACATGATAGAGCAGTTTCCTTTTAACTAGGGAAAGGCTGACCAGTTACTAAACCCATCCATACAGAAGGACCAGTAGAATATCCCAAGTCCAGAGGTTCCAAAAGCCAGAATTCCACATCATCATTAAGCTATATTCCTTGTCATAACTAGACAGATGTAACCTGAAGTAACAACACACTTTGTGCTTTCTTGAAGTTCAAACCTGTTAACTGACCTTAGAGTTGGAGCAAGAAAAACAGAATTTCTTGAATCAGTCTGTTACATTCTTTTAGATTCTTACTGCAAGCCAAAAAGTGCTATTTTCTGCCTCCTACCACACCACCCAGCACAGCCTAGGCAGAGGAGCTTTGTTTTCCCTTCCTCAGAGCACCCCAACAAATGGCAGGCAGAATGTCTGCAAATGGTTTTCTTAGCAACCCTTGTCAGTAGCATAAGAACCACAGAAAGCCTTTACTCCTGCCCTTATTGAAGTGGCTTCCTGAAACTGCCCCAACAGAGAACTGCAGACTTTCACCTGTTGCCTGTGACCCAGACAGGGGCTCTGACAGAAGCACGAGGTGAGGGCTGCCTGTAGGTCAGCGCCTCCATGACTCTAGGCTGGCAGCAGGATCTAGTGCACTGGGCCATGAAGGGCCATCAGGGCTCTGCAGACTTCATGACCAGCAGGGTGTATCCTGGAGGGTTATGACTACTGGAGGGTACAGGAAGAGTCTCCAAGACAGCACCAGCAGCAAGAGCATGTGGAAGAGGCGATAGGTTTAGGGGGAATGAGGTCCAGGTCCTCATCATCTGGAATCTCATCCAGGTGATAACCATCCTGCAGCAGCTGCCTGCTCACATCCTGGCTCACCTGCTGAAGGAAGAGGAGAGGACTGTAAGTCAGGATGCAAAGCAGCAGAGCTGCTGCCCAAAGGCAGGCCCCTGTCACATCTGAGCTTCCTGTCCCTGCCCTGCCTAGCCCCAGGCCAACTCCACATCCTGGATTACAAAGGAAGCATCACCATTTCCCAACTTTCTAGCAGTGAGGAACTCCCCAGAGGCTTACTGAAAAGTATCCAGGCTTTACATTAAAAAGTCACTGTACCGAGTTGGTCAGTTGTGGTGCACGCCTTTAGTCCCAGCACTCGGGAGGCAGAGGCAGGCAGATATCTGTAAGTTCAAGGCCAGCCTGGTCTACAGAGCAAGTTCAAATCACTGTACTGACTTTTCCCACTGGAATTCCAGATATCCCTGTCAAGATTTAAAGAATACAGTCCAATTGTGTGTGGAGGCACACACCTTTGATTTCAACACTTGGGAGACAGAGGCAGGCAGATCTCTCTTGAGTTCAAGGCCAGTCTGATCTATATAGTGAGTTCCAGGTGAGCCAGAGAATATAGAGGAAAGTGTCTCAAAAGAGAGAGGGAGAGAGAGAGTAAAACATGGGCTCGAGTATTAAAGATATATGCAGTACAGCAGAAAGAGAGAGGGAGAGAGAGAGAGAGAATAAAACATGGGCTTGAGTATTAAAGATATATGTAGTACAGCAGAAAGGGGGAGGGAGCATCTTTGTCTGCGCTGCAAGTTCTTACTACCTTCCCTGCTGGCAGGGCTGGGCTACTTCGAAGTACACCAGTCAGCCTGATTTCATCAGGGAACTGGCAAGCAGAAAGTTAATGAGGCTAGGATTTTTTTTTCCCAAGACAGGGTTTCTGTGTTTAACAGCCTTGGCTGTTCTGGAACTCTGTAGTCCAGGCTGGGAGGCTAGGAAAATTTAAGAATTGGGATTCTTGGAAGAGTTTTCTTAGGTCCCCCCGCCCCTGTTTTCAAGACAAGGTTTCTCTGTGTAGCTCTGCTGTCCTGGAACTCTGTAGACCAGGCAGACCTTGAACTCTCAGAGATCCACCTACCTTTGCCTCCTGGGTGCTGGGATTAAAGGCGTGCACTACCACCACTCGGCAAGTTTTCTTAATTTTGACAATCTTAGTTATGCAAGCTGCTTTCTCATTTGCAGAAACTGAGAGATTAGCCAAAGAGTCATTGGAGAATGAGGAAGACAGACCTAGTGCAGCCATGTCCCACTTCAGCTTCTTGTACTTGTCCTGCCACATGCTATTCTGCCTGTGATTTTCCCTGGGACAGTCATTCTGGAAAGATGTCTGAAAGACCAGCCCAGGAGGCGTGCTCAGACAGAACTGCCCAGAGACGGAACTGAAGAAAGCAGGCTCTGGGGAAGATGGGTAGGGGAGGGTTGAATGCTGACTCAGAGGGTCCAGGCTGCAAGAAACAGGAAGACCTGTAAACGACCCAAAGAAGGAGTTGTATGTTTGCTGGGGGAGGGTAGCAAGCAATGCTTCTTGGATGTACAAAGTGCCCAATCACAGGAAGCATCCCAGCACACAAAGGCTAGGAAACACTTAGCTGCAATTTATCAAGATGGCTCCTAGATTATAGACTGCTGAGATCATTTCTATCCTGAGGATATATAGTCTCCTGAATTTTCAACAGCCCTCCTAAGACACCTGCTATCTGTGCTAAGGGAAGAGGGAGGGCATAGTGGCAGACTAGAGGGCAGACTAGAATCTAGCACAGTGCTGTGCACACAGCAGGCACCAAACAAGCATTCGGACAGTGGTGATGCTGACTGCAGCCTGGCACTGCACACACAGGCGCTCTGGACTTGCCTCTGCAGAGGAATACCCGGAGGAGTATCTGGATTCCAGCTCCCCATCACTAGGAGAAGAGGAAGACAATCAGTTCAGGGGACATCTGTGGAGCACAGCTGCAAATGGCAAGGAGGGACATGCAAGGGGTCTGAAGGGCTTATGAAGCAAAGACCGCACACCGCAGAACTCAAGCCCAGAGTCTCTAGTGAGTACCAATGGCTCCCTCAGTTGACTTCAGCAGAAACAGTCATTCTCACTTCCAGTGCAGGCACAACAGGACAGGGTGACCCATCCAGCCATGCCATCCCCGGAAGGGACAGCACTCAGAAGAGGACAGCCCTCTGCATGAAAGGCCTTGGAGGAGATAGGCACCAGGCAAGGGTACCAAGCAATCTGCAGTGCTATCCAAGTCACTCCCGACCATCTCCAAGGAAAGTACTCACCTGTCAGAGTCAAGGGACACCAGGTTTTCATCTGGACTCTGGCTAAGAGCAGCATAGCCCTTGTTAAACTTCACTGACCTGAGGAGAGATGGGGAGGGGAGAAAGCACGGGCATTTCACCGGGAAGGGCATTGCTCGCCCTATGCAGAAAGAACCAATTGGACCATTCCAGACTTCCCCTCTACTCAGTCGCATCTGCCACAAGCCAATGTTGTGTGCAGGTGGCTCTGGCTCCTCAAATGACGCTCTAGCCCACTCCACTGACCGCTCCTAGGAACAATACACCTCCCTCTTTTTAACCAGGCAAAGCTGCTTCTCTCCACCATCTCTTCCCTTAATGAATTCTTATCTATGCACTGATGGAACTCCCCTATTTCAAAGCCTATTTCGTGATACTAGCACGGCCTTAAAGGGAGAGTAGAGGTGGCTCCAGTTTCCATTCTTAAGGTGAACCTGTCAGCAGACTAGCTGGCTAGCTAAACTTCAGCGCCCTCTTCCCAGGCAGGAGGCTAAAGGAAGGCCTTCTTCGGAAGCTTCTGACACAGAGGAGGTGGGGCCCACTGAGACCTTTTCCCTGAAGAATCGGGGCGGTTCGGCAAGGCCCCCAGCATGCCCTTTCTCCGTAGAACGGCTTTGGCCAGGTCCCGGTGCTTTTCTGGAAGTCAAAAGGTCCTGGGTCAGCCGGGTCTTCCCCATTCCGCTCTTCCCGGGCTCTCGGTGGCGGGTGAGGGCTGCACCTAAACCCCTTCCCTTCCGGGGACAAGATCACGGGACTTAGGGGCCCAACCCCAGGCCACAGCAGCCCGCTCTCACGAATCCCGCTGCACTCACGAAGCTTAGCCTGAATGGAAGGTGCGCGCGTCACCATGTATGGTCCCCGCTTCTCCATAGTGGCTGGCGGGCGTTCCCCGAGCCGGAGGGCCGCCCCGCCACCCCGTTCAGAGGGCAGGCCTGCGGCTCCTGCCACGCCGTCCGGGGCCGCGACAGGCCGGGGTCCCTGGGTGGACATCCGCACCGCGTGTCCCCGGAGCTCTGCGGCCGCCATAACCGGCCCCGCCCCGCCCCGCCAGCGGCCAGCCCAGCGTGGGGAAGAACGAATGGCGGGGCATACACTCCTTTAGTAAGATGGTGGCGCACAGGCTCGGGCTTCCCTTGGTGGTTCCCCCGCGACCTGCAGGAGGGCGAGCATCAAGGTTCCGCGCGACGGTCAGGAGCGAGGCAGCCCAGGTCTTGCCTCCCGGCACTCTGAAACCCGAAGTCCATTTAAGCCTGATGATGAGAAGGATCTCTGTTCAGTCTATAATCTAAGTAAAATAACATTTATGGAGGGTGGCGGCTGTGTGCCGACCCAAGGGCTCGTTCGGTGTGCCTTGAGTGCCCGAGAATCATTATTTATCGTGGGATATTTGATCACATAGTGAACACCGAGTTTGCGTTAATAAAAAAAAAAAACATTAGGTCAAGAGGCGGAGCCAGCAACTAGCTGACAGGATGTAGTCATAGAAAGTTGGAGGGAAGCCGGGCGGTGGTGGCACATGCCTTTAATCCCAGCACTCGGGAGGCAGAGGCAGGCGGATCTCTGTGAGTTCGAGGCCGGCCTGGACCGACAGCCTCCAAAACAATACAGAGAAACCCTGTCTCGTAAAACAAAAACAAAAAACAAAACAAAAAAAAAAGTTAGAGGGAGTCAGAGAAACACGTTTGGGACTGCACAAGAGTTCATTTTGCTTGGTCGACCGCTAAGGAGGAAGGTCTGTTAGTAGGTTTTCACCCCAGCATCTGACTCCCGAATCTTTATTGGTTAAGCAGAAGGCTAGAGATTTAGTTAAAAACTACATTTGGCCACAGCGGCAGAGGTGGTTCTGGCGGGACACAGAAGTCCTGCCCGGCCGAGGTCTGAGCAGCGGACTGTGAGTGGAGCCTTGGCAGGAGCTGAAACAGCAGTAGGTTCAGATGCATCTGCTGTACCTAAAAACAACATTTGGTGCTCCATTACGTGGCACAACCACACAACAGAGAAATCACACCAGCGGTGGACAAACTGAGAAGTCATTAGATTTGGTGAGCCACCTGGGAAGTCCTTAAGGAGAAAGTTAAGTAGTATTAGAAAGAACAATCTTTCCCATGTTAAGGATGGGAAATGTCACAATGCGGGGAGTTAAGACCCTGTAAAATGCTACTAAAGATTACTTGAAAACGGAAGCAGTAAATGAGGGGTTAAGCAACTTAGCTGGGTTGGCATAATGCTGACTGTAAACATCTGTATGGTAATTCGTATTTTATCCTTAATAGCTACAGTGTTTTGTTTTGGTTTTTTTGTGCCAAATATAAAAAGTGGTGTGATAATCGTGCCATATATGAAAAGTTAAATGATGAAATACAAGTCTTAGGTCGAAGTCAGCCTGGTCTACAGAGCGAGTTCCAGGACCGTCTCCAAAGCAATACAGAGAAGCCCTGTCTCAAAAAAACAAAACAAAACAACAACAACAACAAAGCCTTAGAAAGATTTACTAGTGAAAATAAGAAAACATTTGACTGATAAGATACAAGCCTTAGAAAGACTTGTTAATGAAAATGAGCAGAACCTCCTGTGCCACCACATGAGAAAATTGAAGAAGGGCTGCCCAGGGTTATTAGAAAACCAACCTTATGCTATGGAGACATTAATGTGATCCTATAGAAATACTAGATTTGAGGAAATTTAAAGATGTTTCATCTGGTGTGCATTCACCCTATGTGAAGCGGATATTAAATTCATGGGCAACTCAGAACAGAATTATCCCTCAAGACTGGAAAGATTTCGCATCAGTAACATTGGAAGCTGGTCCTCAGCTACAAGGGCATGTATGGTGGAGAAAGGAAGCTAGAGCCATAGAAGAAAAAATAGGGCTAGATGTATCGATATTTCCCCAAGTCAATTGCTGGGTGAAGGTCAGTATGCTGAATTGCAAAGGCAATTTGAATTTGATGACAACACCTTGCTGCTAAGTCGGTTTGCAGCCTTAAGTGCTTGGGATAAGGTTAAAGAACCAGAAATGAGTTCTGAGTCATTAAGTAAGATTATACAAGGCCCAAAAGAAGCCTAAACTGAGTTTTTTGCAAAGATTGACTTCAGCTGTAAATCGAATAGCATCAGATCCAGGAAAAAAGGTGATCAGGCCTCTAAAGGCAATAGTGGCACCAATAGAGGAATGGATTAGAAATACTGCTCATATTGGCTCTCACACTTGTGATGCAACTTTATTAGGAGAGGTAATCTCTAAAGGTTTTAAGAAAAGACAAACTGTCAAATGTCTTGGTTGTGGCAGGCAAGGTCATTTTAAAGGGAATGTAGGCAAGGTGTTCCTAGAAACAATATATATATATATATATATATATATATATATATATATTTTTTTTTTTTTTTGGTTTTCGAGACAGGGTTTCTCTGTATTGTTTTGGAGGCTGTCCTGGAACTCGCTCTGTAGACCAAGCTAACCTCGAACTCACAGAGATCCGCCTGCCTCTGCCTCCCGAGTGCTGGGATTAAAGGCATGCACCACCAACGCCCGGCTTAGAAACAATACTTTTTTCCTAGACATAATTCAAAAAGTATGCAGATGTGACAAAGGCTGATATTAGACTAATGAATGCAGATGAACAAGGGAAAATGAAATGTTTCTTTTGCATATTACAACATAAAGCATATCACAGGTATACCACACAATCCTACAGAACAGTTATAGAAAGATCTAATCATACTTTAAAAGGTATGCTTATTAAACAGAAGGTGGTAACAGAGACCCCCAGAGACAGATTGCATAGTGCTTTGTTAAGTTTAAATTTTTTAAATGCTAATGAACAAAAATCAACAGCCACTGAGAGATACTAGATTGTGGGGGAAAAAACTGAATTAAATATTATTTACTTTTTGTTTTTTGAGACAGGGTTTCTCTGTCTAACAGCCCTGTCTGTCCTGGAACTCACTTTGTAGACCAGGCTAGCCTTGAACTCAGAGATTCACCTATCTCTGCCTCCTGAGTGCTGGGATTAAAGGTGTGTGCAACCACTGCCTGGCTCAGCCTCTATATTTTTAAGGATGTCTTAACTTTAGGGTGGAAGTCAGGAAATATGTTGTGTTGGGGAGAGGCCATGCCTTTGTTTCCACAGGAAATGAAAAGCTATGGATTCCTTCAAAATTAATAAAGATCGTATTTGACTGGGAAAGACCTGAAAATATTGGCTGCAGACATGAAGGAAGAAACCAAGAAAAACTATAAGACAAGTGACATATGTGTTGATCCTTACATGAGAACAGCTCAGACTGGATGAGACATCTTAAATCTTGGTCGAGTCTCACAGACTTCAGTCAAGCCCTGTACCTTCCCATCACACAGAGACTGGATGACAAATGATACAGCTGGGTGTCCCAGGACTTGACCATTATCTCAATTTCCTCAGGGTTCCCTAAAGATGCCCTCAGCTCCAGACAGCAGGAAGCAATTTTAAGAACACGGTGATTCACATTCCCAAGAGGTGGGGTGGTCAGTGGGTTATGGATATTGTCATCATTTGGGGAGTTTGTTTCAAGTTGTTACTGGCCATGGTCAGAGAGGAAACTAAGCAAAGGAGTTCATCAAGGATTTCTTTCTTTTTCTTTCCTCTGACCTTCTCTTATTTAGTGTTGAAAAAGGGGTGGAGGACAAGGAATCAAAAGAAAAAGGGAGGGATATACCAACTATAGATTATTGAATCTACTTTTAAACTAAAATGCAACTGCTCAAATATTTTACATTGGTATGAAGTTTTGTATATTGATACAAATTTAAGGTTATTTTTGTTACAACATGCTGTATATATGTTTCTACTCTTGTTTAAGGTATTGTACCTCTGCAACTCATTTAAAAATGTAATATAAAGTTCTAGTCCTTAAAAGCTACTATTACAAACTGTTTAGGATAATTAAGAAACGTAGGTCAGTAGTTAGGCACCCATAACAAACTTGTCATGTTAGGTATGTTTTCAAGATCAAACATATATTTTAGATAGACAGGTGGTCTTCAGACACTTTGGCAATCTACAGAATATGACATTTAAGATGTTTTCATAGCAGCCAGGTGGTGGTGGCACACACCTTTAATCCCAGCACTCAGGAGGCAGAGGCAAGTGGATCTCTATGAGTTTGAGACCAGCCTGGTCTACAAGAGCTAGTTCCAGGACAGCCTCCAAAGCCACAGAGAAAGGCTATCTCGAAAAACCAGGAGGAAAAAAAAAGATGTTTTCATAGCATAAAGCTTTTCATGATGGTGGGATATGTCTGCTCCTGGCAGAACCAATATGCTTCAAAGAACATGATAGGCATGGAAGAACCTCTGTGTAGAGTTTTGGCAAAGCTAGCTAGCCACTGGCAAGAAACTGCCATTGCCTCAACTGCTGATAGTATGCTGTCCAAGTTGGACAAATAGGACACAAAGGAAACTGACTGGTAAACTTTGCCAAGACAAGGTAGGTCAGTCTTTCAAAATTCCTGCTTTACAGGAAAGTCTGTCAGATATTCTAGGCCTGTAGGCTGAAGATGGATGCCCCAACATTGCAGAGGAACCTTGGGTGACTGTCCAGGCAGAGTCTCTGTCATTTCTATAGTTCTAGAAGTTGCTTGCTCTGCATTTCCTGACAATATTACTCAGATATCTTATCCTTCTCAGATCTCTGGTTTGAAGACTAGAAGTTATAGTTTTACAGTTTTCCTTGTTAATCACTTTCAAAAAAGAAACAAAAGAGATGTAAGTTATTAAGGTTGAGAGACATAAAAGCTTAAGTTGTTTAATCTAAGAAAATGAAACTTCTAAAAAGATATTTTTAGCTGGTAATACAAGTTCTGATAGAAAGTGATTAAGGTACAAAACTTTGAACTCACCCAGATAGGATAGATAATAGAGTACTTTCTCCAAAGTTACCAAATACAAATGGACTGGTCATTGTGCATGTAATTCTTACCTGATAATTTTTTTTCCGGAGACAGGGTTTCTCTGTATTGTTTTGGAGGCTGTTCCGGAACTAGCTCTTATAGACCAGGCTGGCCTCGAACTCATAGAGATCTGCCTGCCTCTGCCTCCCGAGTGCTGGGATTAAAGGTGTGGGCCACCAACGCCCGGCTGATAATTCTTTTTTTTTTTTTTTTTTTTTTTTTTTGGTTTTTCGAGACAGGGTTTCTCTGTGGCTTTGGAGGCTGACCTGGAACTCGCTTGGTAGTCCAGGCTGGTCTCGAACTTACAGAGATCCTCCTGCCTCTGCCTCCCGAGTGCTGGGATTAAAGGTGTGCGCCACCAACGCCCGGCTCCGGCTGATAATTCTTATTGTATATAGTTTCACTGTGTTAGACTTAAAACTTTTCCTTTCTATTTAGACAAAAGGGGGATGTGGGATATTTGAT